GCCACGAACATCTCGGTCAGGCCTTCCCAGCTTTTCACAGTTCCTTTCGGCAACTTGTGAAACCAGTCTTATGTGATTTCCTCAAAGGATAAGGGAAACACTTTGCAAAGCAACGGCTCGTTCCCGGTGTACAGTGCCATTGAGTTCAGGTACAAGCCGACATGAAACTTAAGGTCAGACTTACCATGATATATTTGGAACCTTGGCATGTGGAACTTTTTCGGGGCCTCAAATTTGTTTAACTCTACCGAGAACGGCGTTCTCGGCTTGACCGAAGAGGTTACATCGGCATCTTGTCGCTTCCTCTGGAGGTAATCCCTCATATCCTCCTTGGTCCGTCCAGGAGCTCGGCTATCAATAGATTTCAGCCTTTTGGTGCACTACTCTTGGTGTCGTTATGAGTCCCCTTGGATCTCTCTCCATTAGTTGCGTCGAAACAAAGTTCATTCCCTTGAACATGCCAATGTTCTTTGGGGTCAGCTTCTTTGGTACAATGCGTCCTCCGAGAATCTCCCTTCATTGAGTCTTCTCGCCCGACCTCCTTTGAAGGTCGGTGAGAGTGTTCCTTGGTCCTGGTGTGATGGGGGACTGTAGGGATTGTTTTTTGCCCCCCTTTATGGGCAGTGTTCCTAGCCGCTGGAATCGACGTGTCTTGTAACGGATACGGTGGCTGCATGACGTTATTCTACATCATGAAATTAACGACTGATTGCAGGTCTGCCAATTTATTCGCCATTCCCTTCATCTCTCCGTCCCTCCACAGGCATCTATCTTTCCATACCTGGAGGTCGTTCTCGTTATAGTACCCGTATCGATCTGCCTTCTTTGGAACGTCTCCCTCCTGGCCGACGTCCTTCTCTCCGGGATTCTGATCCCAAGGTTCTTCATTGCAGTTATCCTCCTCTACGTTGGGATCAAGGTGTTTACCACTTCCAGTAGGGATGTCGTCCCCGATCTTCTCTTTCTGTCCGTCGTTGGCCATCTATTCTCTTTTCTTTCCCACAGTCGGCGCCAAATTGTGTGTGTTGTTTCTGACCACACTGCCAACTAGGTACTCAGCTGGAGAACACTGGCAGAATAGATTGCGCCCGAATGACCTGTAACAGAAAGATGAGACTCCGGTGGTGCTTCTTCCACCCGGGGGCACTCCGACGATCAAGTCAATACTCAGTTATCTTTCAAAGATAATAATTAGTTCTTAACTCACTAGCCAGAATACAAAAAGCGTACCTTAGACCCACGAGGGTGCCCTACTTTTATAGGCAACACTGACCTGATCCTTGTAGAAGCCTTGCTCCATTGGACTCTGGCTCAATGCTCATCTTAGACTCTCCAATAGATAAAGATAAACTCCCTAAGAGTTTTATCCTTATCCAGGCTGAGGTCCTCCCCCATTCTAGGACTCTTGTTCCTTATCTGTTCATCTCGGATTTCGGTATCTCCGCAGATAACCTCAGCCTAGCCGAGATCACCTCGGCGCCATGACCAAGACACGTGGCACCTCGGCTGGCACTTCGGTGCCACCTTGGCCACGTGTTCGTTATTCAAAAAATATATCTCCGCACCTACCCATGTTTGGAAATTAAAACAACACTCTCTTTTCAAATCCTCAAGTCTACTAGCCATTACAACAAATTAAGATTTTAAGGATCAAAATTCAGGAATAAAATTGCATTATCAAAATGTTATTGTTGTATTTTTAATGATAAAATTAGACATTTACTAATGAATCACTGTCAGTTTGGACCAAAATTTTCGTCTCAAAAAGTAAATATTTTGGCACCAAATTATTTTGTTCTCAAATCTGTATTCATTAGTAACATTTTTAAAATTTTGTTGCTAAAGATCTTTTTTTAAAAAAAAAAAAAGTTTTTGAGACAACCTTTTTAGTGATGATTAAAATTGGTCTCCTAAAATTTTTTGAAACACAATTTTTATTTTTAAAAATAAAAAATTTAACTTCTAAAACTGTTAAATGTTGCGTGAGTTACAATTGTTAATTTTTTTTTTTTTTTTTTTTTGATACCTAGGTATCCGGCGTTTCTACTACCAACCAAAGCCAACCCACACAATGACACACACACCAATGGCCACACCCACAACACTCAAGCATTGAAATAATATAATTTTTATATATAATAATAATTTATAATAATTAATTATATAATTTTTATAATTTTCGTAAATATAAATCATTTTTCACTTGAAACAATTGCTTTCATCATGCCACAGTGAGTTATCCGAACGTCCTGCAGTTTCCTTAGATCTCTAGCTATGGAAAGTGAGAACGTAGTTTGTAGTTTATGACACCAGAACACATCTACAGACGTCAGGTTGCCGAGCCATACAAGTTGGGTGGGACCCTTCCACATATTTGTCAATTCAGGCAAGAAATATAGTACCAACTCTTTCAATGCACGGAAAGCCGTGTTCGGTAGTCGGTATTCATGACATTCATGGCTAGTAATCCCTTTGAAATTATATAGATTACGAAGATACAGACACTCACAGGAAAAGCACTCTGGGGAACCCCATCTGTTGTATTGATGAGGTATTCCAATTCAGTCAAGTAGTCTAGTGTCAATTTCATTAAGCATTCAAAACCATCTTCGTCGACCAAATCACAGAGAATTTTCAAACTTACTGCAGTTGCGGTTAAAATAAGAATTTCAGTTCTCTTCAACAGCAAATCAAACCTCGTTTCAATGTCACTCAAGTTTTGACCTTGGAGATCCAACTTATTTGATAACGAATAACGAGGGTCAGGGATGCCACCAAAGTAATCGCCAACAACTATATTGAACTTTTTCACCTTCTCAATACCTCTCGGCCAGAAGTCCATATTTAATAGAACAATATCCAAAGCCGCCAAATTGGACAAGGACGCTAGTTCATTGCTCACTGAAAACTATCCCCGAAAGTCTTGGATAGATCGGTCAAGACCTTGCTACTCGGTAGCCCGGGTCCAACACTTCATGGTTCATTGCAAGGGAGAACCAGATGAGGAGTAAAAGGAAGGGCCGAATTAAGGATAGTTTGGCCTACCTCGTGGCTCAGCTTAGCCAGTTTACTTCGGTCAAATGGTAAGTTCGCCGTAGTAAAAACCATCCCACTTGGTTTAAGCAGTGGGGGGGTAAAAGGATAAGCATTATCCTTTAGGAGTATGAATCCTAGGAGGACTCTGCATGGAAAGAATAAAAGTCCTACTAGGATTGGGCCACTCGAAACTATAAAAGCTCACAAGCATCACTTGGAGGAGGTAACAAACACAACATACAATTTTGCTTCCTGAATACATTGAGCTTTGTCGATTTGTCAAGTTTTCTAACTTAGCATCGGAGAGGTTTCCAGCCACACATCCTGCCGGCTAGCTTCACGTTTGTGTTTTTCAGGTGACAAAGCGACGTCGTACGGAGGAGCGTGGACTTAGTCAACAGGATTATACGAGGAGAATTATTTCTTCCCCGTAACAATATATATTATATATATATATATCCAGATCCCATCGACTGAAAAATCTTAAACAGAACACATCATTAATCTTGAACTCTGGTTAACTGATAAGACCAATGGTGGAAATTGTTCCTAGTCTACCAAAGTGGACTGAACTCTGCTCAGCTGGTTTGAAATATTTATTTGTAAGTGGTTTAACATATATTATTAATAAAAAAAATTGATTCGATAAGTTTAATTACATGGTTTAATTAATTTTTGATTTTGAAAATTTAATCATAACATAATCATAATTTTAAAAATAAATCATACATATTATTTTAGTCTTGTTAACGTTTCACGTGTTGTACTTTTTAGGATACATGTAGCACGATTAAAAATATATTCATTCTTTGCAGAAAGTATGATATTTAAAAAAAAAAAAATATTGTGTGCCTTCTCAAATTTAAAATTTGATGAAAAAAGTTCTCAAAAATTATCTCCAATTTTTTCATTCATATGTTTTTTTTATATTTGTAATTACTTCCTATCAATTGACCCAAAAAAATATTGTTCTAGTCAATTTCATGTGTGTTTATAAATCCATATATTGCCACCTAACTAAGATTCAAAATCTCAAGTTTGAATAATCTGAAAATCTAGTAAAAATTTGTTGCGAGTCAATTTCATGTGTGTTATATAGTGACCATCTAATTAAAATTTAAGATTTCGAGTTGAGTCATCTAAAGGGTCACTAGAAGTTACTTAGGTCGTTAACTTTATGATTTTGAGATTTAGTTGAGATATGCATAAACTGACCCGGGATACCTAGGTATCAAAAAAAAAAAAAAAAAAAAAATTAACAATTGTAACTCACGCAACATTTAACAAGTTTTAGAAGTTATTAATTTTTTTATTTTTAAAAATAAAAATTGTGTTTCAAAAAATTTTTAGGAGACCAATTTTAATCATCACTAAAAAGGTTGTCCTCAAAACTTTTTTTTTTTTTAAAAAAAGATCTTTAGCAACCAAATTTTAAAAATGTTACTAATGAATACAGATTTGAGAACAAAATAATTTGGTGCCAAAATATTTACTTTTTGAGACGAAAATTTTGGTCCAAACTGACAGTGATTCATTAGTAAATGTCTAATTTTATCATTTAAAAATACAACAATAAACATTTGATAATGCAATTTTATTCCTGAATTTTGATCCTTAAAATCTTAATTTTTTGTAATGGCTAGTAGACTTGAGGATTTGAAAAGAGAGTGTTGTTTTAATTTCCAAACATGGGTAGGTGCGGAGATATATTTTTTTGAATAACGAACACGTGGCCAAGGGGCACCGAAGTGGCAGCCGAAGTGCCACGTGTTCTTGGTCATGGCGCCGAGGTGATCTCGGGTAGGCTGAGAGTTATCTGCGAGGATACCGAAATCCGAGATGAACAGATAAGGAACAAGAGTCCTAGAATGGGGGAGGACCTCAGCCTGGATAAGGATAAAACTCTTAGGGAGTTTATTCTTTATCTATTGGAGAGTCTAAGATGAGCATTGAGCCAGAGTCCAATGGAGCAAGGCTTCTACAAGGATCAGGTCAGTGTTGCCTATAAAAGTAGGGCACCCTCGTGGGTCTAAGGTACGCTTTTTGTATTCTGGCTAGTGAGTTAAGAACTAATTATATCTTTGAAAGATAACTGAGTATTGACTGATCGTCGGAGTGCCCCCGGGTGGAAGAAGCAACCACCGGAGTCTCATCTTTCTGTTACAGGTCATTCGGGCGCAATCATTCTGCCAGTGTTCTCCAGCTGAAGTACCTAGTTGGCAGTGTGGTCAGAAACAACACACACAATTTGGCGCCGACTGTGGAAAGAAAAGAGAATAGATGGCCAACGACGGACAGAAAGAGAAGATCGGGGACGACATCCCTACTGGAAGTGGTAAACACCTTGATCCCAACGTAGAGGAGGATAACTGCAATTGAAGAACCTTGGGATCAGAATCCCGGAGAGAAGGACGTCGGCCAGGAGGGAGACGTTCCAAAGAAGGCAGATCGATACGGGTACTATAACGAGAACGACCTCCAGGTATGGAAAGATAGATGCCTGTGGAGGGACGGAGAGATGAAGGGAATGGCGAATAAATTGGCAGACTGCAATCAGTCGTTAATTTTCATGATGTAGAATAACGTCATGCAACCACCGTATCCGTTACAAACACGTCGATTCCAGCGGCTAGGAACACTGCCCATAAAGGGGGGCAAAAAACAATCCCTACAGTCCCCCATCACACCAGGACCAAGGAACACTCTCACCGACCTCAAAGGAGGTCGGGCGAGAAGACTCAATGAAGGGAGATTCTCGAGGACGCATTGTACCAAAGAAAGCTGACCCCAAAGAACATTGGCATGTTCAAGGAATGAACTTTGTTTCGACCGCAACTAATGAGAGAGATCCAAGGGGACTCATAACGACACCAAGAGTAGTCACACAAAAGGCTGAAATCTATTGATAGCCGAGCTCCTGGACGGACCAAGGAGGATATGAGGGATTACCTCCAGAGGGAAGCACAAGATGCCGATGTAACCTCTTCGGTCAAGCCGAGAACGCCGTTCTCGGTAGAGTTAAACAAATTTGAGGCCCCGAAAAAGTTCCACATGCCAAGGTTCCAAATATATCATGGTAAGTCTGACCTTAAGTTTCATGTCGGCTTGTACCTGAACTCAATGGCACTGTACACCGGGAACGAGCCGTTGCTTTGCAAAGTGTTTCCTTATCCTTTGAGGGAAATTTCACATAAGACTTGTTTCACAAGTTGCCGAAAGGAACTGTGAAAAGCTGGGAAGGCCTGACCGAGAATGTTCGTGGGCCAGGTTTGTGACAAACAAACTACAGCCGTTGAGGGTGGACTCCCTCCATGATTAGGCGAGGATAAAAGCCTTCAAGGCTTATGCCAAGAGGTATTATGAGGTATTCAACTGGATACCAGGATGCAACCAAGAGGTGGCGGTAATGTCTTTTAAGAACGGCCTGAAAGATGATTGTTTGCTTCGAAAATCACTGGCAAAGACACTACCAAAAAGTATGGAGGAGCTTATGGCCAGGATAGAAAAGTATGCCAGGCCGATGAGGACACGCCGGGGACAAATGCATCAAAACAAGAGAAGAGAAACAGCTCGCCGAAAGCAAGGGCCGAGGTAATGGTGGATACAATAAGCAAGAGACAGGATTGAGGGCCACACAGGCAATCACAACCGTATTCCGAATTCCAGTCTACAAAGTCTTAGAGGGAATTTGAATCAGCCCTATTATAGAGCACTAGAGAGGATTCCTTGGTGAATTTATGGGAAGAAAATCTTGGGAAACGCTGTGCCTACCACAACGAGGATGGGTATCTAACTCAAGGGTGCAGAGCCCTAAAGGCACATCTGGAAGACCTGGTAAGACAAGGTCACCTAAGGGACCTAGTAGATGAGACCAGGACAAGGGAAGAGCAAGTGAGACTGCCTCAGGCACGGCAGCACCACCTCCTTCAGTAGCCGTAAGCAGGCGGACCTCGAGTGATCAATGTGATCCATCAGAGGTGAATGAGAACAAGATACGTGGGGAAACTCAGAAGGTAAAAACACTTGCAAACATGTGTATCAGGTTTGGCAGAAAGAGCTAGGGCAGACAAGTGCCAAGGACCAGTGGTGTCATTTACTGAAGACGATCCTAATGATGGTGCAACATCTGCACAACGATGCCTTGGTAATATCCCTCCAGATTGGAGAGTGCCAGGTAAAGCGAATTCTGATCGACCAGGGCAGCTCTTGTGACATCATGTATTGTCAGGTGTTACAAGGAGCTTGGCCTTTATCAAGACGATCTGGAACAATCCAATGGTCCAATGGTTGGGTTCAATGGGAGCTGACGTGCCCTGGGAACAGTAAGTTTGGAGGTGCAGACTTGGCACCCCAGAAGGTAAAAACTGAGGTTCACCATAATTGACACCCCCTTCCCCCCTTACAATGCTATTTGGAAGGCCATGGCTGCATGCAATGGGGGCTGTTCTTCAACTTTGCATCACTGTTGTGAGTTCTAACAGAACATGGGATTGCGAGATCAGAGGAGATCAGGTGCAGGCAATCTTCTCTCT